GTGGGGGTGGGGGTGGCCCCGGAGGGCGCGGCCCAGGCGAGGAGATGGGAAGAGCGTTCCCTTCACGTGTGAGCCCAACCCACATTTATTTGCCTGGAGTTCACTTGAGGGAGTTGGCAGATTTTACTATTTCCCAGTCGTTTACTCGCCAGGCTCTCGGGTTCACGCGCCTCGGGGCTGCTCTCCTCACGCTGAAACTTCATTCAAAGGCAGGGCAAGGCTGCCCACGAGGTCGGGATTGGGGAGATGGGGCTGACCTCCAGGCCTCTTCCTCCTCCTCCGCGCCCTTCCCCCACTCCTCCCACCACCTTCGCGGAAGCTAAACTGTCCCCCAGGGCGGGGAGAGGTCTCGCTGCTTCGCGCAATCCGTCGCAAAGAGTTAATTTTTCCGATCGCATGAGGGGGAGGAGATTTCCCTGTAGACGAGTAAAAAGGGTGATGGACGAACGTGCGGGCACTAAGACCGCAAGGCATTCATTTCCTCCTACGGTGGATGCGGACGCCGGGAGGACAGCCCCAGAGCGAGGAGCTGGGAGCGGAGGCACAGGCAATGCTCAACCCTGGATGTAGCTGAGAGGGGTCGGGAGAGAGACCGACCGCCGGAGACCGAACGGCGAGGGGAAGACCTAGGGGGGTGGGTGGGGGAAGCAGACAGGAGAGCTCGCGAAATCAAGCGCTTTACAGATCATTTTATTTTGTATAGAGAACACGTAGCGACTCTGAAGATCAGCCCCAATGAACATGTCAGTGTTGACTTTACAAGAATATGAATTCGAAAAGCAGTTCAACGAGAATGAAGCCATTCAATGGATGCAGGAAAACTGGTAGGTGATGCTTTCGTGTGATTCTGTTCCCGGGAGCCCTGCGCGTCTTCCCGGCGTGCCTTAATGTCGGTGTTCCCTGTCCGCCGTGAATGGAGCGAGGAATCGCGGGCAGCAGTAGCCGGTCGCTGAGTTCTCGGGTCTCCCGGCTGCCTGAGACACTGGGGCCGCATGAATCGCGCTGTCTCTGGGTGCCCCTGTACGAACCGTGGCTACACAGGCATCTTTTATAAAGATTATATAACGTAGAATATATATGTGTGCATAGTGATGTCTGAGCGCCAGGGAAGGCGGGAGAGATGCCACAGACCAGGTACACTACCTGTACTACCTCCTGGTTTTCAGTCTAGGTTTGGGTTTTCTTGCTCGGCTTCCCGCAACCGGAGTGTGAAAGGCAGTGGAGGGAGGACCCCGTGTCCCGCTCCCTTTAACCCTCTCCCGTCCGCCGCCCTGGGCTCTGGTGCTGGCTCTCCCCATCCCTCGTGTCCTTCTTTTCTCCTTGCAGCTTTCCTACTTAACTGCCCTGCAGACTGCCCGTCCTCAGCCGGATGCCTTCTTTCCAGACCCCTTTCCCCACGCGGATCCCTTTCCGGTTTCATAAAGAGACGGGAGGGGGGAGGGGGCAGAGGAGGGGACAATGAGAACAGAAGCAAAAATGAATGAATCAGAGCGAGTGTAGTCACGCCATTATTAAGTTTCTGTTTTACGTTAACGCCTTTTGGACACATTCACTTCTAATTCAGTGGGAGCTGCTGATTGGAGTTCAGACACACAGATCTAAAACCCATCGGTCCTTGGGGGGTTCTTCCCCAGAAAAACTTCTAACCGGGGAGAACATCTTTCTTCTTGTTTTCTGTGTTCTCTCCGCCAGTCCTTTTGAAAATTCCTGTGTGGGAGGCGATCCAGTGTCACCTTGCAATATTTAACAGGGGAGGTCATCTCGCTTCTTCCTTGTAGGCAGAGCTGTGGCAGAAATATTTCTCTCCTCCCCTCAACCCTGAGTCTGGCGTTCAGTAAAGTGCAAGCCCAACGCACCCCAGGGCTGGGCAGTGGCCCGCAGCCTCCTGGAGGCTTGATGGAGGAAGGCCGGTCTGGAGGGGCTTCCGGGCGCCGGGGGATTCCGCCCGCCGCGTGCGCCCGCGCGCGTGTCCCGTCCTCACGACCTGCCTTCCCTCCCTCCTGTCATCAATGGGAAACCAGAGACTCCGGCGCGCCCGAGGCAGGGGCGGGTTGGTGCAGTAGGAGGGGGTGCCGCGGGCTGGAGTCGGGGTAGGGGGGTTCAACTCCCTCTGCTCCCGCCCTTCCCAGTCGCCTACAAGCCTCCTCTTGCTTGGGCCGGCGCGCGCCCGCCCCCAACCTCCTGTCGGCCGGCCTTTTGCGGTCGCAGCCGGGCGGAGCCAGCCGTCTGGGCCGCGCGCGCCTGCACCGCGCGCTCACGCAAGCTGCGGCGTGGCTGAGGGTCGCGGTGGACTAGGGGCCCAGGGGCCGGAGGGCGCGTCCCGTCAGAGCCGGAGCCTAAGGGGGACGCGAGCAGCTCGGAAGGACGGGAAGTGCGGCAGGCACGTGGGGCGTGGCGCTGGGTGCCCTCCCGGGCCTCCTAGGCCCAAAGCTCCGGGGGTGGGTCCGGAAGGTGGTTGTACGCCGAGAGTCCCGATCCCGTAGGCGATCGGACTTTTAGAGGCCTCGGCGTTTGGGGAGGCCGAGCCCCCTCGCGCCCGCCGCCGGGGTCCTTCTCCAGATGCATTTCCTCCCTCCGCGTAGGGGGTGGTGCTGAAGGCGGGGAGGGGACGGTGACCCGGGCCGGCGGGCGCCGGGAGCAACGCAGCTGGTCCGCCTAGGGCCCAGTTCTCCGCAGCTGTTTACCGTATCCTGCGCTACTCGTGCTCATCTTCCTCCCCCATTAGCCTTGTGTGCTCTGCATTTTTTTTTTTTAAAGATGACCGGTAAGGGATCTTAACCCTTGACTGGGTGTTGTCAGCACCACGCTCAGCCAGGGAGCTAACCGGCCATCCCTATATGGGATCCGAACCCATGGCCTTGCTGTTACCAGCACCACACTCTCCCGAGTGAGTCACGGGCCGGCCCTGCTCTGCATTTTTTAATGTCTGCCTTGTCTCCGGCTGGCTGCATCCTGGTTGAACCAGGCTTTCCGGGGTCAGCTTCCCCTCGCTCTGCCGGCTAAGCGCATTCACTGTCTGCAGGCCCTCCCTTGTACCACCGCGGTAGATAACTGCCTTTTATTGACTTGTTGCCTTTTCTCTGGGGCCACTTCCTATTCCTGCTCCAGGTACCATTTCCCGCCTGTTCTTTCCACTTAAGTATTCGCTGAGCCAGACAGGTCCTAGCCCTTTTGGGACTGAACATGGCAAAAATGCGCGAATTTATCTTTGCCTGTAAGGCCCTGACCACTGTTTCCTCTAAGCTCTTAAGTACCTTTCATCTGGCAATATCTTTTCCTGGCTTTTATTTATATACAAGGATATTTACATACATATCTGTGCCTCTCACCGGACCATCGGCTTTTTAGGGCACAGTCCACTCTTGGTTCTTGATTGTTAGATGCTTGTCCAGTGAGTTAAAATGGTGATTGGTTCCCATTTTATTGCCAGCACTACCTGTTAATACTAGTGACTTAACATGCGTTTTGTGTATGTTGTTTTAGTCACATTTTAGGATTTTTCCCTTCCTGGCTTTTGCCCTCTTTGTTGACTTTATGTTCTTGGATTGCATATTGCAGTCAAAGAATCCTGTTGGCTGTTACCCTTTCCTTGCAACTCTTCCTGACCCTAATTGTCTTGCTTTCTTCTTTACTCCAGATCTCATGCATTTCTTCCAATATTCTGGGGGCCCAATTTTAAACCCCCCCAAAAGAAAAACAACAACAGCCAAAGAACCTTGAACCAAGAGTGTACGAAAATATCTTCTTTTTATTTCCCTTGTTAATAGAAGGATTGGACCCTCTTGAAGCAAGGGGAACTTGAGGAAACTGCAAAATACCTGTTCCAGACTCACTAGCTTAAAATGACTTGGAATAGCTTAGCTTGTGGGGGAAAAACACATTGTAGTGAAGTTTCTACTTTGTCTTTTGAGAACTTATTTGTAGTTGTCCAAAAAAATCCCTTAGACACAGCCTCAAACAAAACTTGTTAATTTGGAGAATTATCTCTCAAAAATCAGCTACATTGGCTTTTGAAGAATTGTGAGGAGGGCGAGGAATAATAGTGTATAGCCACTATGCTATCAGTGCTAACTAGTATCATTTAAGAGGACCTAAAATAAGGATAGTTTATTAGACATACCCTATAATCCACACTTGTTACCTTAGCACATACTAATGGAATGGGGATCCATTTTCGAAGTGGTATTTGTATAAACACTAAAGAGTTTGACTGAGACAAGTTTATCAGGTTTACTCTTGCTTTAATGAATGATTAACCTTATACTCATTGGACTAAACATGACATAAATACTGTAGACTTTTTAAACTTTTCTAGCAAATAGTTCCATATATAATAGAATAGCAGTTCAAATGCAGATAAGTATATTTCCTTGGAGAGTCATCCTGAGTCTCATCTTAAAACTGTATGTCCGGTTAAAAATATGCTGGGTCATGTTATCTGGTAAATGAGAGTTTATTACACAAGGTAGAGGAAAATGCCTGCTTTAGTTTAGCTCAAAATAGCATTTTTGAATTCCGATTTTACACTGAAAAGCCCCTGTGATTTTACAACAATGAAAATAGAGACATTTTGTTCTTTTTTGAGATGTCTGGCCTTTACTTGTTATTTTTACTAATAGCTGACTTAGAAGTGCTGCTAGCAAGGGAGCAAACTCACCCAGTGATTGGTAAGGCAATATAAAATTCATTGAGTGCGAAGGGAAGCTGGGCTATGCCTTTCCCTCTTTTAGCAGCCTGCCAGGTTTGTGCTAACAGCAGTGGATGCTAGTTGCTCCGGTTGTAATTGTCTGGCCAATGATGGTTATCTTCTGATGTCGGCTGACACTGTGCTCACCAATAGGAAAGCAGGAGGCCTGTGCTGACTGCTGTAATATTATGTATGTGCGGTGACGTCTACAAAGGGCTTGCCTAGAACCTCATAAGACCCTCCCCCATCTCCTGGCATCCTCCACACATCCAGCCTCTCAGTGCTTTGTATATTTTTCTGACTTTCTCCCTTCTCCCTCGGTGGTGATGGTTGTAAGGGTTTTATTGTTTTTATATTTTGGATTCTGTATTGTAGAGTCTGTAAGATAGTGTAGGAATTTTTAGAATTAGATATTGTCCAGCCAAGGAAACCCTTTTATTCAACAATTTGTTTTTACCAAAGGAAAAAATGAAAACACCTTAAAAGGAATCATACAACAATATGTTTTCTTATATGTGAGGTTTAGAGAGTAACACAATGTACAATTTGAGGATTAAAAAACAAATAGTATTATAAACCTGTATTAGGATTTTACACAAAACACAGCAGCCTGCTGTTGGTGAAACTTCAAATGCAGGCATAGAATTAGGCTATTGTTTTTCCTGTAGTGAGGATTGCTTTCAACTGTTCTCTGAAATCCTTGTGATCTGCTGCATGCATTTGTAAGAAAAATGGCTCGAAAATATGCAGCTTGTGGCTATGGAACAGAACAGGCCAGAGTTTCATTTAGTCATTAATATTACAGCAAATATAAATTTGGTCAGCTGTCTAAGAAAATGCTGTGTCTGTATTGTACTCATTATGTTGCTTATCACTTATTTTGGAGAATCACAGCTTATGTTAATCTTAGGATGAAAAGTCCTAAGTGTGTGAGACTTAACATGTCATTCAATAAACTAAGAAAGCATTGGGATATAGATGGAATATGAGTTAAGAGTGAGAAGACTGAGAAAATATGTAGAGAAGAAAAATGTGAGATCTATGATATAATCCTAGAAAATAATGAAGAGGTGTGTAGAAACTTTAAGCTGAACTTTCATGTATCTTTTAAGAAATGATGTATATTAATGCAATCCT